GTGGTCCTGTAAACATCATTTATTCTGTTTGCGATCATTAGTGGGGTTCTGAGTATATATAAAAAAATTACATTCCATAATTATTTATACATATCTAGATTTCTACAGGATTCGCTGCTGGATTGATTAAGAATCAGGCTAACGTACCTCTTGAGGAAGCCTTCCTTCGCTTATGTAATTTCCTTTGCTCATCTGTGCCCTGGGGAGTAAGGATTTGTGTCCATTTTCCAGAGCAGAAGCCACAGTCTCAGAGAAGTCAAGCGACTTGACTGAAATCACTCAGGAGTGGGACCTGTCACTCACACACAAGGATGCTGGCACACACTGACCACATTTCAAGAAAGCAGGGAGCTATCATCATCGCCCTGTTTATTGGGTCCCCCCCACCTTTATCTTATTCACCAAACGCACTTAGAGGTCCTTGAAAAAAAAATCCAACTCCAATTATGGAAAAATTCAACCCTATAGAAAAGTAGACAGAATAATGACCCCTTAGAGGTCCTTTCAATTCGCCCCGGAATTGGTTGCATTTACAGCTGCCAAAGGTTGAGGGCACTGAATGAAAGAGAAACAGGAACTTGCCGGCTCCTTTTCTTTCTTAAAACAAAAAAGATATTCAGGGCAAATTTTAGAATCATTGACGGTTTCTAGGAAGATTTTCTTTTTTGGAAGAAAAAAAAAAAAAGGTACTCTTGTCTCCTTAATTGTTCCTCGTGTTCTTTGTCACCAATCATGACATTCTTTGTGGAAAGTATTAATGCACCATCTTCTTGTGCTCGATATTCCCATTAACAATAAAGAGTCTAATGACAGTCTCTACATGGAAAGCCCTGAGCACTCATCTCAGACACAAACAGAAGGGGAACCAGTCCGTGTTTCTCCTGAAATGAACGGATGCAAATTAATTGATATCTTAATGAAGCTTCCGCATGAGGATTATTAATCAGAGTCGATCAGGACTGAAAAGCAGCTTTGAGGGAAGGCAGGGGACACAGGGCTGGGGTAGCGGCACGGAGACCTTATCTGTCCAAGGCTCTTCTACTCTGTGGGACAGTTTCCAAGAGAGGCCAGGAAGGACACCAGGCGGTAGACATCAGTCCCTGGTCTGGCTAGGTTTGGGTACTGCCTTCTAGTCCTGTTCCTGAGCCAATGGGAACCCACAGATATAGGAAGTTCCACCCCATGTCTGCCCCTGGGTTCTCATATTACTACCACTGTGCAGGAACAATGCCTTCTTCTATTTTGTGTTTATGACCCAGACCTCTAGAGGTATTTGACTTAGAGCAATGATAATAAAAATTGTATAGGGCTGGCTATGTGTTCTGGGTATTGTCCTAAGCACTTTTCTCTAAAATAACTCGGTTAAGCTTCACACCGACAGTGTGAAGAAGAGACTATTGCTGTCTCCATTTTACAAGGGAGTATAGTGAAACAGAGAAGTCGAGCAACTAACCTAAGATCACAAAGCTAATAATGGTGGATTTGGGATTTGAACCACAGAAGTTTGGCTTGAGAGTCATTGCTCTTAACCACTACGCTACCTTGAATACTGTTCAATGTATTTATTTGTTGAACTAGTGAACAAAAGTTACCATGCGAATGCCTGGTCCCTACTGCTGGGCATCTCTCCAACTCCTGGTTTTCATCTAAGTTGCCTGTAGGAATAGAAGTTATCCTAACTCTAGTCTATACCCTGCCAGCTTCTCTTTGGGGTGAGCTGGGGGGCTACAGATGTTTTGGGCATGGTCTGGTCCACCATCTAATTAGACTCCATCCCCCAATCTCAAGGCCAGCCCAGATTCCACCAAGTCTGCCTCTGTGGCCTGGGGACTCTCAGGGCTGTTGTCACTCTGCAGGGAGGTCACCACATGCTTTCCTGATGAGACACTTTGGGGAATGATGGTGGGTGGGGTGTAGTTTCCCCGGGGTTCAAAACACTGACGAGGTGTGCTTTATTTACCCTGGGGGGCACTCTCTGGGCAGCTTCTACCTACCAAGCAGTCAGTCAGAGAGCCCTGGGAGGGATCTCGGGGGGCTGCAGAGATGATTTTCCCAACTTATGGAGGGAAGCTGGCAGAGATGTGTTGCAACCCCACCCTGCACGTCGGGCATGCGCGGTGTGGAGTCTGGGGCATGCACCCAAGACCCACCTCTGCAGCCCCCCCCCGTTGAAAGCCTGCATCATCCGGCCCTCCAGCCTTTGCTTCCCCATCCATGAGATGGGCAATGCTACTTTACAAAGTGGTGGAGACCCTGGCAAGTTTCAACGTGCTTTTCACTGGAGGATGGGTCCACCGCAGGCACTGTTGCCCACAGCCACAGCCTCCCAGCACCCACGCCTCGCCTTCCTCCACACTGCCGGTTCACCCTGGAGGCCGTGTTGGTGCCAAAGGGCCCGGGAAGCCGCAGGTTACCAGCTGCCGGCACACTGAGTGCATGCTATTGAGACCCACTGGGCCGTGGAGAGCACCAGTGCAGAGGAAGTGCTCCCAGATTTGATCAGAGCCCTGGCTTCCTGTGGCCAAGGTCCAGGACCCGGGACCTCAGCGGGTTTGGCTTATAACGTCTTTGTGGCTGGCGGAATTCGGGGGCAGGGGGGCAGGGTCAAGTGGACACAGCCGGGAGGACTGCTGCTTCCTGCTGGGCACCCAGACGGGGGAAAGTGGGTGAAAATGTGACTGAAACCAGAGCCTCCTCCAGCTGGCCCATCGGGAAGTCGAGGGCTGCACCCGGGCAGGTGGCCCTGGTTAAGCTCTGCGGCTTAGCAGTCTTGCCTGACAGCTGCCACCTGTCACCTGCCACCTGCTTTGCCTCTAAACTGAGCTGCTGGGGCTAAGCACATCGGTGGCACAGGCTCCTGTGAGAAACGTGTCCCGAGTGAGGACTGGGGTGAGGGGAGTGCAGGGTGGGAGGGGGGCTTAGGGCTTTGAAGAGAGGCCGTGACATGCTCCCAAGGCCCCTCGGCTCTGAAACCATGCCGTCCGAGGCTGCGTGCGCACTCTAGCCTCAGAATCATGGAGTGGAACCCTCTTGCAGGAAGCCCCGTGCGCCTGAGTGTGCAGGCAGTGAACTTGACCTTTGGAGCGTGTGCTGCTCTCGAGCCACCACCCTTTGCCATCGTCACCAGCATCCAGAAAACAGCAGTGCTCTAGACGGGGAGAGCTTCCCTTTTTGAGTCCTCTGCTCCCCACCATCCCCGTGGCACGGCCCTACCCCAGCTGCCCCCCTGCAGTGTTTCCAGAGAGGAGCACCTGGCCAGGGAAGGGCGTTGGGAGGCAGCTGGTCCCTGCCCAAGAAGCTGCTACTGGGGAGTCCTTGAGGGAGCCCTTTGGGCAGCAGTCGGTCTGCCCCCAAGGAGGGCTGCCCCCTGAGCTTCCTAGGAAGCGGCCTGGTTGCGGGGCTGGGGTTGGTTGCCAGGCTAACTGCCCACTCCTGGTCCCCACTCTGGTGTCTTGGTCAGGAGTCAATATTTAGTTATACGGATGCCCCTTCCTCTGTCCTTAGCTGCGGCAGGAAAACACAAGCCCTTGTGGTCTGTGGGTTTCTCTGCATTTTCCAGTGTGCTCTCAGGGGGCCATCTCAGCCATCATCACAATGACCCCGTGAAATCAATACCATGACTCCTGCATCACAGACAAAGCCAGGACGCCAGACGGGCTCCCAAGGTCACAGAGCGGGTAGTCAGCCGAGACCAAACTGGATCCAAACTTAGGCTTCCTAGCCCTGGGCTCCCACGACCTTACAGGGTTTGAGGACATCACATACTCTTCTCAAAAGCCATCCGCAGGATTCCCAGGCGTAGATTTGTGAACACCATAGGCTAGTGTGGCATGCCCCACATGACATGGCCAGGCGCTTGTGAACAAAAGATTTTGTGATTTCATGAGGTTGAGAAATAAATGCATATGATATACAGCTGGTCCTCTGTACCCGTGGGTTCCTTTTCCTCAGATTCAACCAACTGAGAATTGAAAATGTATCTATCTATATTGATCACTATCTGCATACACACACGCACACACACACACACACACACACACGTAATTGAATCCAAACACATCGACTGTTTTCTTGTCATTATTCCTTAAACAATACAGTATAACATACTGGCATAGCATATATGTTGTATCAGGTATTATAAATCATGTAGAAATTATTTAAAGTCTATTGGAGGATTGCATAGGCTTGATGCAAATCCTACACCATTTTATATACAGGACTTGAGCACCTGTAGATTTGGGTACCTATGGTGGGGGGGTCCTGGTACCCCAACCCCCGAGGGCACCAAGGGATGACTGTTGTGTATATGAGGACAATAGAAATTCTAGAAGGCCATCGGGTGAGGAATGGGGTTCATTCCATTTAACCCAGAGTATTAAAGGCTTGCTTGGCAATGGAGCCTCCCCCTCCCCAGAAGCCCCTCAAAAGCCCACCAAATCTGTGTCCCTGAGACCTGCCCTGGAAAGGGCGAGCCAGGCTCCTTCACCGTCAGATGGGATGACGAAGAAGGTGTTGTTTGTTTCTGCACAAGAAAGGGCAGTCACCCCGCTTCTCCACGCCCCTTGCCCAGCAGGAGGACCCCCGCACACCCCCCACTGCCAGGACTGCCAGCTGGATTTCAGGAATCTCACCAGGGCCCCCAGATCCACTGATGTGCTGGCGCCAACCATCGTGTTTCTCAGACGTTTTGTGAGTTGGTTCTTAAATCACTGGTGACTTGAAATTGTCCATGGTGGGACTACCTAGGCCACAAAAATCAACAAACTCTAGATATCGGGGCTTTCTCCTGCTCTGTGCTGAGAACTCAGTGTCCTGGTGCAGCCCTTGCTGGTCCTTGGACTTCTTTTTAAATCACTGTGAACTTGGGAGAAGCTGACAGCTGAGTGTTCAGGGCCATCTGACATGACCATCCTCGCTTGACCTCGTCCCCCTCTAAAGGAGAGTCTGCACAGAATGATGGTCTTCCAAACAGGTCCCAAAGTGCCTCTTGGCCTGCTTACCTTGATATCTGTCACCAGCCAATGTCTCCAGTATCTCTTGGTGGGCTCTGACCTGCTGGGAGCATCGGGATCCACCATCATCAAGGTGTAGGTTGCACCCTGTAACACACACACCAGAAGGTGATGTAGCACCAGGGCCAGGTTGTTGAGAATCCGGAGGGGGGGGGGGCTCCCTTACCCCCATTCCAACTGACGAGGGCTGGCCAGCCCTTAGCCCTCCTCCCCACTTGGTCCTTGGTCTCATGACATCCCCCTCATTGTGTTTATTCTCAGAGAAATGCAGGTTATGAAGTAGACCCCGGAGCCTGTTGGCTTTCCCTTGATGAAGAAATAAGTCCAAGGAGGCCTATTTATAAGGAGGTCCCCAGCATCTTGCAAGAAACAGCGGAACCTCAAGCAGGGCACCCACCCTCCGGGAGCTTCTGGTACCGTTGGAGCAAGTCAACAGACACCTTCATTCCACCCTCCAACCAGCTTCAGCCGCACACCCTCTCTGTCCCCGACAGACACTACTCCAGGTGCCAGGAGGCCAGGGGAGCGAGGATGGTATGCTCCACGCTTCCAGGAAGCTTTTATTCTAAGACACAGATAATAAAAATAAACAGGTAAGAAGGTGTCCAGCTGAGATGAAGGTGAAATTGGGTGGGACAAGTGGAAACGGGCCTCCGGGACGAGGCAGGAGCTGCTCCAGGTATTCGGGTGGGAACAGGAAGAAGGTCACTGCAGCCAGCCATAGAGGACGACAGGGTGGGGTGGCGGGTGCCAGGGGCCAGGCCCAGCAGGTTTTGGGCTGGGGTCAGAGTGGGAGTCGACTGGAAGTACAGCAGAACCCCAGGAGGGTTCTGGGCAGGGCAACGCTGGGCCTTGATTTTCCTTTTTAGACGTGTGGGCACCTGGAGAGCAGGTGTCATGGGAGCCCACACGGAAGGTGTTTCTAGAAGGAGAAAGGGGCCAGCCCGGCTGAAGGGGGCTGAGACGTAGAGCAGGAGGAGGGCGCGGATGTGACAGCGTGGAGATCACCGTTATGTTGGCGAGACAAGCTTCGCGGAGGAGGAAGGACTGAGGCTCGCAGGAGGCCGAGGTGAGCCAGGAGAGGGAACTTGGGTGTGGGACGGTGGGACGCGGTGGGGCTGGGCCTGGAGAGGAAGGAAGAGCCAGGAGGCTTCTTTACAGCGGCGGATGGTAGTCAGAATGTTTGTAAGCCCAAGGAAATGATCTGCAGGAGAGCAGGTGCCCATGGCAGAGAGGAAGAAGACAGCTGTCGCCAGGCCAAGGCCAGAGGAAGGTGGGAGGGGACAGGAACAGAGCAAAGGGCAGGGCCTGGTCTCTGGGAGGAGCAGGGGGCACGGTTCTGAGGCAACAGAGTTGGAAGGTGTGGTCGGGGCGAGGACGTTTGTCTCTCAATTGCTTCTAGTTTTCAATGAATTAGAGGCAAGGGCATCAGGGAAAGGGTTGTAGGACACTGAGGGATAGAGAAGAAGCATTAAGTAGTCGTTTCGGAAAGTGAGAGAAGGAATACACTACAGGCATGGAGCTGGGCCCCTGGGCAGTCCGGCTCGGCAGGGTCGGGTGCCGTGTGGCTGGTCAGGTGCAGCATGCACAATGCAGGCGGGATTGAACCTGGGTGGGGGCTTAGACTTGTGAGTGGGGGGGTAGGGGGAGGAGAGGGCAAGGAGATGGATGACCAGCGATTGCTGGCCCTCCTTTTGACCTGGATGGACACCTATGCAACTTCTCTACCTTGTTCCAGGTGCCCAAGTACAGAGGGAACCGCAGGGAGGGAGCCCGGACCTCTGGACCTCAGGAATCCAGAGGGCTGCCCAGGGTTGTCTCTGAGCTTGATCTTGAAGGATGAGCAGGTAAAGGTCAGGATAAGCCCTCTGTCGGCAAAGGGAGTGGCATGGGGATGCCTAGGGGACATCTGGGGAACGGCTAGGACCTGGGGCATCTGGACACCAGGAGTAGAAAGCTGGAGAAGCCGAGCCTGTGGGTTTGGTGTTGGAATGCACAGGCAGGTGTCCTTTCAATGGAGTGATGAGGTTGGAGCTCTCTCTAGACTTGGCAAACAGGCACTGGACCTGGGGATGGACAGCCTCCTTCAGAGAGAACTTGTGGAGGGAGAACTGAAGGGGTGGGGAGGGGAAGAGAGTCCGGAGGGAACCCAGGGGAGCCTGGAGTCCTGGGTTCAAGGATGGGGGGGAGGTGGTGTCAATACGGCCGCCATGACAGTTGGGGGTAATGACCCAGAAAGAACATTGGCTGTGACCATTGGGATCACTGGCAGCTTTCCAGAGTCTAGGGATGCAAATGCTGATCGTTGAATGTTAAAATCCAAAAGGACAAGGAGCCACATATTAGATGCCATAGTAAATTAAATCAGAGAATGTGAAGATAAACCTGAGAAGATTTGTAAGAACTTGGAAGAGAAAGAAAAGGAGAAGAAAATATTAGGATGTGTGTCTGATCTCTGTGGACTCCCCGAAGGAGAAAACTGTATCTTTGATTCAACCCAGAATTTGTTTTAGCTCAAACAATAAACAATAAAAAGAAAAAGAGTATAAATACAGTAGAAGAAGGAATCAAACCATCTATCCTTCCTTTTCCCCAATTTTGTTTTTGCAAATTACGTGGTTGTCAATATAAGGAATTCATGAAAAAACTGAAAACAGCTAGAATAATATTCAGTAAAGTCAGCTGTTACCAAATGTACACAAAACCAATGCTTCCTCTATCTTAATAAGTCATAAAACATATATATAAAAAATCCCATTTACAATGTAATATTGTAATAAAAAATGCAAAAAAAAAATCTCAAAATAAGCATGATATAAAGAAAACAAAATGTTACTGGTGAACATAAGAAGAAAAATTGAGTAGATGGAGAGATACGCACTCTGCTTTTAAACTGAAATGTTTGGTAAAAGTGTCAATAAAACTTTATTAATTGAACACATTCGCAATCTAAATCCCAAGTTAGATGTTTTGGGAATTTCAGAAATGATTCCAAAGCCCATAATTAAATGCAAAAAAATAAGCAAATAAAAGGAAAAATTGGTAATATTGAAAAAGGTAATACTGAAAAAGATGAGACAGGGAATGGAATTGATTTTATAGGTATTAAAATATATTTTAAAGCTATAATAACTAGAAAAATGTGGCATTGATTGAGGAATAAATAAAAGAAGAAAGAAAAATATTGAGAAAAACTCAAAATTTCAGTATATATATTTAATATATGATAATTACCATTTTATATATGATATTTAATATAAGACAAAGTTATTTCAAGTAAGAGGGAAAGGACAGATTGTTTTATAAATGCCATTGGGACTATTGACTCACTGCACGGAATAACTAAACTTAGGTTTCTGTTTCTTTCAAACCCCAGAAAACTTCCATACTTAAATGTGTACATGAAAAACAATGTTTAAAAACTGGCTTAAAGAACATAATATTGAATTCATTCAAGGGAATACGGTTGGAATTAGATCTTTATATACTAATAGGGGAAATGTCTGTAATATGCTAGTGCATGAAATAAGCAAGTTGCAGAAGAGTGGATATGACATCTCAAATGTGCAGGGAAACTTTACATATATAACTATCTCCCTCTATATATATATTTATAGATATATTTGCATATGCATAGAAAATGTCTGGAAAACTACATACCAAACTGTCAGCAGTAAATGGCATGAAGGAAGAGATTGATATAATCTAACTAGATAGAATTTTGAATCTTGTATATGGAGAAAAAAGCCAAATGAAATTCAAAGACAATAAACTTGGGGTAAATATTTGCAAGATATGTGAAAAAAGTGTTTGGATTCTTAATACATAAGTACTTTTTAAATGAATAAGAAAAAGACTGATAACCCAGTGGAAAAAATAGACAAGCAACATCCAAAGAATTCGTAAAACGAGAAATAACAACGATTGATAAACATACGAGCAAATGTTCAATTTCACTACTAATGAAGGTCATGCAAATAAAATAAAATTAAATCCTATCTTTGCCTATAAAATTAATATATATTTTAAATGTTTATGTCTGGAATTTTTAAGGACATGGAACCACACGGTGGGTTATGAAAACCCTTTGTGCTCCATGATCTCATTGTCTTTAAAAAGAAGGGAAGATCAAAATCATCTGCCGTGCCCATATATGTCCTCCGTGGGAAGGAGAAAGAACCTCATGAACCTCACGAACCTTACTTTTGCCTTTTCCAGTGTGTCTGCACTATAACACATTGCCTTTATGCTGAGAAGAAAAGATTTATACTTTTAAAAAGGGTACTGTGGGAGATCCCAGAACCCTCATCATTCTGTTCAGACAATGCCCAGGGCACTCCTCCTCATTGGTCCTCATCCCTGATCCATCACGCCCCGCCCCACTGCCCACCTGCAGCTGTCCAACACCGCTGAGTCTCTTCAGTGAGTCAAGAGTGGACTCATGAGTCCTCTGCATGGCCTTCTCTGAGGTGGTCATATCCTGACGTCCATCCTTGATTACTACGGTGGCCTGGATGTGATTTGTCCAAGGGCCCATGTGTTGGAGGGTTGGTCCTCAGTGTGGTGGTGGGACCTTAAAGAGACAGGGCCTGCAGGGAGTCCTTAAGCCCTTGGAAGGGATTAATGTAGTTCTTGTACTTCTCAGCAGACCCCAGTTAGTCCCCAGCTGCTCTCTAGCTTCCTGTCTCACCATGCGATTTCTTACTCCCATATGTTCCTGCCATTGTGATGCCATCCACCATGAGGCCCTCACCAAAGCCAAGCACAGGTTAGAGTCATACCCTTGACCCTCCAGAATCATGAGCTAAACAAACCTCTTTTCTATATAATATATCCAGCCTTGGGTATTCTGTTATAGTAACAGGAGAGAGGCTAGTACAATCACCTCACTGCTAAGCAACCTCATAACAGACCTCTTCAAAGACTCAGCAGGAAAGAAAGAGCTAGTGCACTGATGGTCTTGCAGATCTTCTGTCTTAGTGGACTGAGGAGCTGGGTCCCGCTCATTTCATGACCCTGATTGCCAACAATCAATCTAGCAAATACTGGGCAGAAGTGTACGTCAAGGGGTTGTTGTTCACCACAGA